CTCGGCTACTGTTGGATGAGCTTCGACGACGTGAATTCCACTGTCCATGACCTCTATTTGGTTTGTTAATATACTTTGACTCCAAAGCTTGCTCTAGCATTGTGGGGCTTGCATTATTCTGAATGCGTTGTTCATGAACAAGGAGGATCCTAGCAGTTCCTCTGCACTCATCGTCTCCAAATTCTTGGATTCCTCAATGGCAGTCACCACATGCTCAAAGTTGGATGTTAGTGACCCAAGGATTTTCTCCATGACACGAACATCGTTAAGCCTCTCGCCATTCCTTTTCATTTGATTCATAATTACAAGTAGTCGAGAGTTGTAGTCTGAAATGTTTTCTCCTTCTTTCATATGAGCAGCCTCAAAATATGCTCTTAATGATTGAAGCCGAACTCTTTTTACTCGATCTACTCCTTGGTAAATTGTGCTCAAAGTGTCCCAAACTTGCTTGCTGGTTGTTGCTTCTCCAATCTTCTCGAACGTTGAATCTTCTAATCCTTGATATAGATGAAGGAAAAATTTTGTCCTAGCTAAGAACAAGTATGAACATTTGAATACTCATGCAAGCTATTAACACTTTAAAGTAGGCATGCATTCAAAAACAATTCATAAAACCCATGACTTTCAAAGCCTAGTATATGGTGAACCAAAATAAACTCTTTAACAACATTAAAGAGAAAGAAGAATTTAGTGATTCTTTACCCTTGAAGCTCATCCTTGATTACACAAGGGATTCACCCAAGTGGAGGGCCTTCAAGTCACCTTCAAGCTCCTTGAATCCTCCTTGTGTTTTCCTCCCTTTAGTGCTCCTTTGGAGATTTGAGGAAATAAGGATTTGTTCTCCAAAACACCAAAAGCTTGATGTCTCTAAGTCTCTTCACCAAGGTTGTATCTTGTGAAGATGAAATGGATGACTAAGAGAGATTTTAGATGCTAGTAAAAATCCTCTAAGTGGCCGGCCTCTATGTAGAAAATGAGAGAAAATATTTCACCCAATTTCTATTAGAAAACCCTCATTAGAAACAAAGCTATAAAGATGACTTTATACTTCATCTCTTAGGTTAGTGGCAAACTTGCAATTAAGCAAAAATTCCCACTACCCTTGCTATGGCCGGCCTCCTTTTATTATTGGGCTAAATACCCATATTTGTTTTAGTTGTCATACAACTTAAACATAATGGGCCTAGTGGACCAAAACAATTTTGGACCCCGAAGCCCAAACTAACTTAAAAGCCCAATACGAACCTTTCGTATAATTAATTAACTAATTAATTAACTTTGACCATTCTTCAATTAAACCATTTAATTGCTTATCCATTTCATATAATTTCTTCACTAACATCCTTATGTGGTGTGCGATCCATTAAGTTCCAATTAGCGAGGCAGTGGGCGATGTTACTCTTAACGATCGATTGTGAATTGAAACCACATTTCAATTCTCCCTTAAGATTAGTGTTTGCTAATCTTCAGGGCTTCCACAAACCATGAGTGACACCTAGCAGCATATCATGGTTACCCAAGCTAAGTAGAATTGGTTGGAGAACCTATCTAGTTACAACTACAATGCAATACGGTCCTTCTCTAATACAATGCTCTTAATCACATTGTTTAAGTGATAGTTTGTTTCATGTCTACTATCCAATGTGATACTTTCCTATATGATTCCTTTGAATATGATTTGGAACAAACTTCCTAAGTCATATTCATATGCTTTGGCCAAAGACTTTAGAATCATATCTTAGAGTATTCTCCTTCCACCATGGAAGGTTAGAGATCCCTTGTTGTGCATTCATATGGCTACATGACTAGATAGCTTGACCCCAACAATGCCGTGGACAATCTGAAGGAATGTCGTTGACATGATCAAAGATCAAGGAACTAACCATTAGACATCTATGATGCCTCAGGTCAAAGGACTACTTTGCATATTGCAACTTTAGAGTTCATACATGACATGTATGTTCGAACTCTCTTTTGATCGTCGTTCAGTGTACTCGATTACCTTTTCGAGCACCTATGTGTTTGTCTTAGTGTCCAACACCAAATGACTTGAGACTAGTTCATACTCACGTTTGAGTCAACATAACACATACTAACCTTAGCGGATTGTCAATGCCCAATTGGCAATCCTATGGCTAGGAACGTTTTAGGAATGAACATAAGAGAATGGTCTCGATAATCTAACTCACTTAGATCACTTGTCTCTTAGATCAAATACATTCCTTGGATTCCCTTATTGCTTAAACACATGATACAATAAATAGTGATTAACAATAAGCTTTGCCCTTCATTAAACATATAAAAGTTTAATACAATAAGTATTCCAAAAGCTATTACATCAAATGAGTGGCTTTGTGGGCATACTTCCAACAATAGAAGATACAGGGCCTTCTTGTCCTTCTTTCGTAAGTCCTTAAGAGTATTCCTTTGATCTGCAGTGTAGGCAGCTTCTTGCTCAGTAGTGGGTTCATCATACCCATTACTGACAACTTCCCATAGGTCTTGTGATCCAAACAATGCTTTGAACTGGATGCACCATCTTTCATAATTTTCTTTCTTCAATGTGGGAACCTAGAGCTGCACTAAGTTAGATGCCATAGCTACTGCACTTGCCAGAAAGGTATTTCAAAGTTTACTAACTCAATACCAAAAAAATATTTCGGTGATAAGTTTTCTAACTTTATCACACCTCTCACTATCACTCTTAATACAATTGGACAAAGAAAAAAAATAAATGAAGAAGCAAACTTTTTGTGTTGGACAAACTGCATGGCAGACAAGCAAACACTTTGATATATTTAATAAGAGTTTACAAACTCAATTGCTTACAAGCTGAAATGGAAATGGGATTCTGATGGAATGGGAATTCGGATGGGTTTTTCTAAAGCCTTACAAGAGGCTTAATTATACATGCAAAAGTTACAAACCACTCAAGTGCTTTTTAATAAAAAAATACACACACATGCAATCAATGATGGTGTTTACCATCTTTACACCCTTTCACACATGCACCACCTTTTGATGCACACACACATGCAACTTTTCTAAAAATAGTTTCACCACTTTCTGAAAAATGTTCCAACAATTTCTGAAAAATGTTCCACTACTTTCGGCTACTGTATTTTATTTGAACTTCCAACACCTTCCCACTGTTATGTCAGCTTTATCGTATTTTGTCCTTTTGGATGTTTATGTATCATTTCTTCATTCAGCATGCATGTATGGGATGTTTATGTATCATTTCTTCATTCAGCATGCATGTATGTTTCGATTTCTTGATCTGCTCCAATAAAGAGCTGCTAATGCACTAAACATCATCCCTAATAGTCTGTTTATAATATCAAGATTTTGTTCTTGGATGATTAGCGGCTCTTTTAATTATGGTTATGATAAGGGTTTTTATGTAGAGGTATATAGATGTTTATTACACTGCCAACTGATTGGGGTAATCACGGTATGACGGTATGAGATAAAGGTTTAGACAATGTTTATAACAACATACTTATAATTTTGCTCTCCTCATGAGAAAAACTATAACAACATCAAAGTTTGATTACAACGCTCATTTCATATGGTGCTAATGGGAAACAAAAAAAGAGTGTCCGTGCTTGTAGCCATTGTAGTTACGATTTTCACTCTACTATACTATCAGGACTTTGTATATACTTTTTGTGGAAGAGGAACATAAGGACAGAACGAAAAGGCACCGGAATTTTTCAATTAGAAAATTTGTAATTACATAATCAACAACTCGATGAAGCAAAATTTAGAACTTGAGCCACCAAGTTTTTTTAATTAATTTCTTTTCTCTATTTTTCGCTTTCTTCTGAACAGGTTTAATCAAAGAAACAGGGATTGTCTACTAAATGAGGTGGTTATATCAAGTAAGAACGATTTTTGCTCAGGCGAAAGGAGCAAAGATGAGCTAGATCAGCTGCCATGGTTCGATTTGCACACTCTAGCAGCTGTTACCAACTTTTCTGAACAAAATAGACTGGAACAAGGTGGTTCCGGTTGTGTTTACAAGGTGCTCAACTACATTTTGTTATAAATCAATCAGTAGACTATATCTAAATTATGCATTTAATTATGTGTGTCTGATCCTATTTAATTCCAGGGTACGTTGGTAGGCGGTCAAGAAGTTGCTGTGAAGAGACTTTTAGAGAAGTCTGGACATGGAACCAAAGATTTTAAAAACAAATTAGAGTTGATCACAAGGCTTCAGCACCAAAACCTTGTTCAACTGCTTGGTTGCTGATTTGCGTTTAAAAATTATCTTTTGAATATAGAAACGAGGTCTGTGCTGGACCGGAAAAAGCGTTTAAAAATTATATGTGGGATTGCTCGAAGACTTCTTTATCTTCACCACGATTCTGGATTCAGAATTATCCATAGGGATCTCAAGGCAAACAATATTCTTCTTGATAGAGAAGTGGCACCAAAGATATCGGACTTTGGAATGGCTTGAATGTTTTGTAACGATCAGACAGAAGCCAATACCAGAAGCAATGGCGGAGCCAAGTTAAGGGCTGCCCTGGGCTGTAGCCCAGGTAGCTTGTGGTGAAAAATAAAATTTTACATGTAATTTTGATTGATTTTCGAATGTAGCCCGCCAAATATTTAGTCGCTAATTCGAATTCTCTAGGTTTAACTATATAAAATTATATAATACAATTTGCAAACCATCTCTTTTTCTTACATTATTTTTCTCATCGCTTCTTGTACATGTACAAATTTGGATTTGTTTAATTTTAACACGTTTTTGGCTTACCTTGTGAATTTTTTTTAAGCTAGCTGATACTATGAGAAATAGGGTATCAAGTTTATTTATTTAAAAAAGATTTAAAATTTTAAACTAGCCCACTCAGTAAAAAATTTCTAGCTCGCTATTGACCAAAAGAGTGGTGGGAACATAATGAGTAACAATACCATGCACACATACATAAAGCTACCCAATTATACTAATTTCACTTTGTAAATGGTTATATGCAGTGAGCTATATGGCCCCTAAATATGCAATGGACGGCCTCTTCTCAATCAAGTCTGATTTGTTTAGTTTTGGTGTTCTAGTGTTGGAGATTATTAGTGGTAAAAAGAACAAGGGATTTTATTGCTCAAACAATGAACTAAACCTCCTAGGAAATGCAAGTTAAAAGGCAAATCTTGAGAATTTCAACTTTTGTCCTCTTTCTAAACAGTCTTCAAGCAGACAATTTTTATGTTGTCAGGGGGAGAATCTCGATCGACTGTTCATCAGGCTGACTCCTTGCTCGAGCCTGACAATATAAGCATCTGTCCAGCGACATATACAAGTCTGAACAAAGAATATTATCCTCCAGATAGTCATTGCATTTCATTCGTTCCATGATTATCACTAAATTCACTACTTAAAGAGAAATGATTGGGAACTTTTGCAGACTTCGAAGCTATGGAATGTAGGAAAGGGGTTGGAAATTATAGACTCATCGTATTCCCACTCTGAGGTATTGAGGTGCATGCAAATCGGCCTTTTATGCGTTCAAGAGCGTGCAGAAGATAGGGCTACAATGTCGTCTGTGGTTATGACGCTGAGTAGTGAAACTGCAGCAACAATGCCCCACCCTTAAAACCGTGGTTTTTGCCTACAAAGGACTAGGAATCCAGTTGAAGCAGATTCATCATCCAACAAGCAGGAAGAATGCTGTAGTATAAACCAAGTAACTGTCCCAACGCTAGTTGGTCGATAGCGAAAGTTGTATTTTTGGTTAAATGTTTTCCTTTGGGCTTGGCACGCCTCGACTGGGTTTTGCCTAATTTCTGTCTATTTTATTTATTTAACTAGCATATGGGCACACATAAAGTATATGAGAAATATTTTTTTTTATTTTTAAAAGAGCTATGCTATCCACACACCCCATTTTATTTCTCACACATCCCTTGATAATTTCTATCCATTGATCTTCTTCAATTCATCCGATCCGACGGCCGAAAATTAAAAAGGTGTGTGAGAAGTAAAATGGGGGTGGATATCACACCCCTTTTAAAATAGAATGAGAGATGAAGAGAGTGATAGAGAATGTGGAAGTGGGAAGTTTTTTTTTTAATTACATTTCTGCCCCATATTTCTTATTATGTTATATTTTAATTAGAGGGTTAAACTATTAATTTTATAAGATTTTGGTTGACAGTGAGTGTTTTATTAATTAGTAGAGATTAATTTAGTTTTTTTTTTTTTTTGGAAATGAACTTCCTTATTTATGTTAGACTAATAATAAATAAGGACCCAAACTAACTAAACAAATATTAAATAGAATATTTAATTTATCTTAAATTTACTTTTCATCAATTTTATTCATCGATATCATATTATTGTGTGTGCCTTTTAAATTCGAATTAGAGTCAGCAGTGGATAATTTGATTAATAGAATTAATCTTATTTTATGGAATCAGAAACCATTATAATTTAACTTTATAGAATGTCCATAAACCTAATAGTAATATCTAGAATTGATTATCGGCTACCCAAATTAGTCAAAATATGTTTGAATTCATTCAACACATATTTAGAACCTTAGTTATGATGGCTCCGCTATTGTTTGACAGTTTTGAGGCAAGGCCAAAAATCATATTTATTAACATCAGATAGCTAGTGAAGCCTCAAGTCAAAGAACTAATTGAACATGCAACTTAGAAGTGTGGTACGATTAGCAAGGTAATCTTCCATTCGTACATTTCTATGGTTGATCAGTGTTTAGTGAACTCGATCTCATAGATAAACACTTTTTATGTCTATTCTATGTCACTGCATCTTTAGTCTAAGACTTACTACTGAATAGTGAATACAACATAAACCGGCCTTTATGGATGTTCGATAGTCCATATGATCATCCTATGGCTAGGAACTTGTTGTAGGACTTAAGATCCGTACAGTACGCTTTTCAGGATTAAAACTATTTTCATTCACATCTCTACACTTAATGTATTCCTTGGATTCTCCCTAATCAACAATGAACCTTCCAAACCCGTTATTGGGTAACTTGTTTGATGGATGATGTTCTTACTTGCCCTTTGTTGTCGATGACTTGACATTGGGTTGACACGAGTAAACTTATTCTTTATTTTCAAGAAAAGAAGTAGCCGGATTAAACATGATTTGCTTATTAGTAATTAACTCAATGCAATGCCTATCTTGTGTTTAATTGTGGCCATTTGAAGCTGAGGAATCAAATTTTGAATTTATCTAAATCTTAACTCGTTACCCCAAGGGCAACATATTACTCACAAGTTTTACTTAGTTCTTTAATTGGATTGTTCATACAAGCCAGATATATATTGAACATTCGTAGTCTAGAGGTTTTCAATGTCTAAAGAATCTCAATTTCTTAATTGTTTCTTTCATTTAAAGTATTATTAGTTTATCTCATATTGACTTTGTCACGCCCCAATCCCGACATACGTCCAGGATCGATACGTGATGTCACCAAATACCCGTATCTCTATCATAGCCCGCCTCAGGGATATGGCAAAGCACAACTCGAGATCCAACTGCGTAATAATTTTTCGTATACTTAATGGTTGCATCTAACCTCCTCGTTAAACTGCCGACGTACCCTAAACAGGAAACAAGCCATTCGTAGTTTGTCAGTTCAATAAACTCCTATTACTGCTGCAAGACATTCCTACATACATGTAATCGGAATAACTATTAAAAATTGTATGCTTTCTTTGTATAGCTTGTCTAGGCATATGAGAAATATATACATATAGCTTCACAAAGTGAATCATCAACTTGATTTTGGTTTCAGTATAGGCATGTGTATAGATATTTATGTTTAATGGGATATCATTCTACCATTTAAGCAAACAAGATGATTCATGTAAAGGTGTAGTAATTAATCGAATAGTAATCTCACCAAATTGGGTCTGTCCACTATTGATATCTATACCAGCCATGACATTACTAACCAATATACTTTAGATATAATTGTAATCAACTACTATAATGAAAATACAAAGCCAATAATACATATAAAAGCAACAATATAACTATAATCTAATGATAAGTAGTTGGACTAGTTATAGCAAATAAAATGGTTCGTTAGAACTAACCCAATTGGAGTATATAATGAAATTGAGTGAGGAAGATACGTATGATTTGATACATAGGCAGATAAAACTAGTTGCATACATTTTCTCTCTAGAAGTAGTTATGTATTTATCACATAATTGTTTGAAAACAACCACCTCACATAGAATCCAGTACATTTATAACTTCACTAAATTTGATAACATTTATATGCACTAGTAATCTAATAAGCATGCCAAACAAACCACAAGAACCTGACCCGCCATATTAAATTGGTCTTGAACTCAGAACATAGTTGTTGATGCACAAAATTAGTGAGGACTTTGGTACAACAGAAAGTGTTAAGTTTGTGACCTTCGCTAGATTGCTCCGGTCACTAGTGTGGATAAGTATGTAAATGGATAGAGACAAGGAAGCAAACACAAGATGTACGTGGTTCACCCAGATTGGCTACGTCCACGGAGTAGAAGAGTTCTCATTAATTGTGAAAGGTTTACACAAGTACATAGGTTCAAGCTCTCCTTTAGTGAGTACAAGTGAATTATTTAGTACAAATGACATTAGGAAAAATTGTGAGAGAATGATCTCTATTTATAGAAGAGAGTTTCTAGTTTCATTCTGACATTGACACATGTCGTGTTGTGATTGGCTTTTGATGTTGACACGTGTCGTGCTATGATGGCTTCTGATGTCGACACATGTCGCGTTGTGATTGGCCTTTTGGTTGGAGGGAAACTCTTCTGGGTCCTTGACGGTATAACGTTGATCGGTGCTCAGTAGTTTCGGGATTGGTCAAGTATGGTACTAACAGTGCTCCCCTAAGTTGCCGAGTGAGGAAAGCTCCTCGGTTGGGGACTTGCAAGATCCAAGCCATTGAGTAATCACAAAACTTCTAAGTACTGAAGTGTGATATCATTTTCACTTACCTTATCTGTCTCATATGTAGATGTGGCATCTTCTCTGGAAGTACTTTTCCTTCATCCAGGGGTGGTATCTTTAACTGATGAAGATGCACAAGGTAATGTATCAATTTCACTTGAAGCTTACTTGTAGTTTCGGGCTTGGTCAAGTGCGATACAAACCGTATAGTAGGAGTCCCCCAAGTCGCCGAGCTAAGAGATTTGCCGAATGAGGTAACAGACAAGGTAAGCAATCAGACTTCCAAGCAAGCAAGTTGGATTAGAGGTTCGAGTTCGGCTTCCGATTGATTGTTCTCATTCTCCTTGTGTTGTAAACAGCAACAAGGATAAGGAGAAGTAAATGGAGAAGAGATGATATGAGATACTTTTGCGTTTGAAGAAGTAACTTTCCACAGGCTTATTCTTGAACTGGGCTGGAGGGTTTTTTGGTTTCCTTCAGAGTATAAGGCCGACTCAAGAATTTGAGGGTCAATACAAGTCCATTAAATCTAAAGTACGTTCGACCGTGATGATATGGGATACTTTTGCTGTTGACAAAGTAGTGGATGTATCGACACGTGTTATGTTACGCTTATCTCCACATGCTTCCTTTGTATCATTCTCGCTTGTCCTATATGTTCCTCAGGCAGATGTGGTATCTTCTCTGGAAGCATAAGATGTTGAAGATGAGTACTCGAGAGCAATGCCAAGTAAGTAATCAGGCAAGGGGTTCCAGGTAGTCAGTTCTTGACTAGAAGCTTAATTCCAAGTGCTGACTGATTGCTTCCTTTCTCCTTGTCTTGTAGGTAAGAACAAGGCCAAAGGAAAAGATAGGGAAAAAGCATGATATGGGATACTCTTGCTTTTAACCCTAATGATATGAGATACTCTTTCTCTAATGTGGCTTATTTGCAGAGGTATTATCGGGGGGGGGAAAGCTGAGTATTTCGAAAGACTCTGCTGAGAGTGCCCTCTCAGATGTGAAGAAAAGTTAAGCATTTTTTTTTATTTTCAGGTCTGCCTGGCTGTGGAGGATGGAGGTCGACATATATAGGAGTCTCCCTAACAACAAGTAGTAGTGTTATTCCTTTACCCTTCTTGGTCATAGCAATGTAGTGGGAGCTACAAGCTTCACGTGTTTTAACTTTTTCAGAGCACTTTGAAAAAGTGGTCTGTGGTATCTGGAAAGCTGATGTTGTGTGTGAAGATTGCAGACAAGCTTTATCCAAGGAAATCTGGCTCTCGAAGTTCGAAGAGCGGTGCTTCTTCGGTTTTTGAACAAGCAATGTTATCGGGGATCTGGCTCTCGAGATTCAGATAACGGTGCCTCTTCAATTTTTGAGAAAGCAATCATGTTGGGAGTCTGACTCTTAAGATTCGGAGAATAATGTCTCTTTGATTTTTGAGAAAGTAATCCTGTTAGGAGTCTGGCTCTCGAGATTCTGAGAGTAGTGCCTCTTCGATTTTTTAGCACATAATCCTGTTGGGAGTCTGGCTCTCGAGATTCAGAGAGCGGTGCCTCTTCGATTATTGAGCAAGCAATCTTGCTGGGAGTGTTTTCTCGAATGTGAGTAAAGGTTGGGCATTTTTGCCAGTTTACCTTGCCACAGAACACAGAGGTTGACACACATTGCGACTTTTT